CCCCCACCCCAGCCCCGGTCCCGGTGCCCGGTGGTGCTGGGGTGAGCAGCGCTTGGTTTCTTCTTCAGGTGCAAGTTCTTCAGCCTGACGGAGACCCCCGAGGACTACACCATCATGCTGGACGAGGAGGGCTTCAAAGGTACCGTGTGGTGGCTTCTGCGGCCACCCCGTCCCTTACAGGGTGGGCTGGCACTGCAGACACGAGTTGTGCACGTTCTCAGCCCACCCGAGCGCTGCCACGCTCCGGGCCTGGGCCGCAGGGAGCGAGTCCCAGCTTGTAGCGAGGCTCCTTTGGTACGTGCCCACCCCCGGGGCTCCTGGCCACGGAGCTCCCGGCGCCTGCGCTGGGGATGTACCAGCTTGCCCGGCCGAGGCTCTCCCAAGGCAGCTGCCTTCGCCCTAATAACCCCCTCCCAGGCAGAGCCACGTCTCCGCCGGCTCATGGGACCAGGCTGGGAAACCGGTGGGGACGGTCTGGGGGGGTCCCGGTGCTGACTGAAAGCCCGGCTGCTCCGGGTGGGGGGCAGGCACCTCCCGGGATGCCCACGGGCAACACCCCAACTCCCTGTCCGCACAGGGTGCTGCTGCCAGGCCTCCTGCCACCATTCCCTCGGCCCCTGTCACCTCGTCCCCCTGCCTGGCACTCGGGCAGAGCAGGGCTGATCGTGTCCCCGGGGGTGAGCCCAGGCCGGGGGTGCTGCCTGGCAGCAGGGACCAGGTTTTGGGGTGTCCTGGGAAGGGTTGAGCCCTCCCAGGTTGGTTCCCCCCTCCCTGGACAGCATCGTTAGGTGGCATCCCCAGCGTCGGTGAGCCAGAGCGTGCGGTGCATGGGGCTCACCGCCGGTCCTGCCGGGGGTACCGGCCCAACGGGCTGTGCCGGAGGGGCCGGATCCTGTCCCGGCTTCCCACACCCAAACCTTCCTGCCGCGGCCGCAGGGAGCTGGCCACCACTTATCACCTTGGACCTGCCCCAAGGAGCAAGGGTCGGCGCTCCGGCCGAGGGGGACTCGCCGGCCACAACCAGCTCCCACCTCTCCCCCCAGCCCTTCGCTCGGG